CCAAGAGGAAGAGATGACAATCATAAATATATATGCACCAAACACTAGTGCACCCAACTATATAAAACAAATACTAACGGACATGAAAAATCAAATAAGCACTAATACAATAGTAGTGGGGGACCTCAATACCTCACTGTCACAAACAGATAGATCAACTAGACAAAAAATAAGCAATGAAATACTAGAACTCAATTAAACTCTTGAGAACAAATGAACTTAACAGATTGTTCCACAGCACAAAATCAGAATAAACATTCTTTTCAGCTGCACACAGGTCATTCTCCAAAATAGACCACATACTTGCTCACAGAACATGTTTAAGTAAGTGCAAAGGAATCAAAGTTATCCCTTGTATATTATCAGACCATAGTGCGATGAAATTGGAGATCAATAGCAGAAGAAAATGGAAGAATTTCATAAACACATGAAAATTGAACAACATGCTTCTGCATAACCACTGGGTCACAAAGGAAATTAAAGAAGAAATCAGACAGTGCCAACAATTAAATGACAATGACAATACAACATATCGGAATCTATAGGACACAATGAAAGCAGTCTTACTAGGGAAATTCATAGCAGTGAATACTCATATTAGGAAAACAGAGCCAGCCCAATTAAACAACCTGACGCTGAACCTCAAGCTTCTAGAAAAAGATGAGCAGGACAAACCAAAACTCATACAAGGGAGGAAATATGAAAGATCAGAGCAGAAATCAATTCAATGGAGACTAAGAGAACAATACAAAAAAATCAATGAAGCCAAGAGTTGGTTCTTCAAAAGAATAAACAAAATTGACAAACTCTTAGCCAACCTTATCAGAAAAAGTAAAGAAAAGGCCCAAATCCATGCAATTAGGAATGAAAAGGGTGAAATTACAATGGCCCCAGTAGAAACCCAGAGGATCATCAACACCTACTTGGAGAACCTACAACCCAATAACATGGAAAACACAGAAGAAATGGACAGATTTCTAGATATGTATGAATTACCAAAGTTGAACGAAAAAGACCTAAAAATTCTAAACAACCCAATATTAATGAAATTGAAAACATAATAAAAAAACTTATCAACTAAGAAAAGCCCAGGTCCTGATAGCTTCACTGCTGAATTCTACAAGACATTTAGAGGAACTACTGCCTCTGCTGTTTAAACTCTTCAATGAAATTGAAAGGGAAGCAATACTCCCAAATTCGTTCCTGGAAGTAAGCATCACCTTGATCTCCAAAGCAGAGAAAGACCCAACTGAAAAAGAGAATTATAGGCCAATCTCACTAATGAACATAAAATGCAAAAAATTCTTAGTAAGGTACTGGCAAACAGAATCCCTGACCAAGTCAGATTCATCCCTGGGATGCCAAGATGGTTCAACATATGCAAATCAATCAATGTAATACCCTATATCAAAAGAGCCAAGGACAAAAACCATATGATCATCTCAATAGATGCAGAAAAAGCATCTGACAAAATCCAATATGCATTTATGATAAAAACTCTACAAAAAATTGGAATAGATGGTCTCTCTTTTTTTTTTTTTTCCTGGTACCAGGGATTGAACTCAGGACTTTGCATCTGCAAGGCAGATTCAATACCACTGAGCTAAATTCCCGGCCCAAGCAATAGATGGTCTCTACCTCAATCTGATAAAAGCCATCTATGAAAAACCTACAGCCAATATCATACTAATATCATAGGGTCAAAAACTGAAATCCTTCACACTAAAATCAGGAACAAGACAAGGATGTCCACTATCACCACTCATGTTCAATATAGTTTTGGAAACATTAGCCATAGCAGTTAGACAAGAGAGAAATAAAAGGAATAAAGACAGAAAATG